TGAACAATTCCACAGTACAAAACGATTTACGTGACACAGAAACTCTTTCTGGTGTGATATGTTTGCCATACATTAAAGAATTGTATGTTCCTTGAAAAAAACTTTTCTATAAATCTGGACTTCGACTTGTAAACAATTCTAGTACAACGACTAGTACTATTTTTACCAAAACAAAAACCCCTTTCAATGTCGAACGACTTAGAAATCTCGTCTATCAAATTAATTGTCAAGATTGTAATTTAATTTACATAGGAGAAACAAGCCAGAACTTAGTTAAACGCTTACAACAACATAAAAATAATTCAAAAAATCCGAAACAAATTAAAACTGTGATATCAGAGCATATTAATACTTTAAAACACAATATGGACTTTTCTAACCCGACTGTACTACAATTCGAACAAAATTTATTGAAACGAAGAAATATGAAAGGATCTTATTTCCGCAAAAAACAATAAATAAACGGAATGAACTTAACACACAAAACAATAAAAACGACGCGCAAAGTATTCGCAATTTGTTCCACACATGTGTAGAATCTTGGTAAAAAATATTTTTTAAAATTCCTTTCTCCATTATATGTTCAACCAGTCTACGAACAACACACTATCCAATTGTGATTTTTTAAATTAGTATTTTTTGAAAGTATTGTGTATTTACAAGTTTAATGTTTATAATACATAGTGTAGTGCATTACCATATCTTGATACCATGGATTATTAAAAGTTTCCAATTTAACACTAAGATTAACTAACTGTAAGTACTATTTACTATTTTATTTTTTTTTCACTCTAATTCAATTGTTTTAGTTTTAATTTTATTTTTAGTTTCCACTGAATGAAGGCTAGGATTATAGCCGAAACGTATGGATTTAGAATAAATGTTTGAAATAAATTCATGTTTTTTATTGATGTTATGCCCGATTATAAGACTTTGTTAATACGTCAACATCAAATTCAAAATCTTACAAAATAAATATATATATATATATATATATATATATATATATATATATATATATATATTATATATATTATATATATATATATATATATATATATATATATATATATATATATATATATATTTATTTTGTAAGATTTTGAATTTGATGTTGACGTATTAACAAAGTCTTATAATCGGGCATAACATCAATAAAAAACATGAATTTATTTCAAACATTTAACATCGCTCATATTATAAATGTATATGCATTTTGGCGTGAAGAGTAGTTTAAAAAAATATTATTTTTAGATAAACGGTAAATATTAGTATATTATAATAAAAAAAATTGTAGACGTGGGTACAGAACAATGTCTGTCGAGTCATCTAGTTGTATATATATGTACTATTTATATGCATATTTATGTATAAGTATTACGCTTTTGTATGTTTGTAAATATTTGGACACCTCACACTGAATTATCAAGCAACAAACTTAATAGAGTGCAAAGGAAATTTGAAAAATACCTTAAGCACTTTGCGCAATCGAAAAGAATTAGTACACATGAAAGCAAAACATTTTTACTGAAATGCGAGGACAATAACCTAACCAAACGACAGCAAATTACTGATCTTATTTTTTTCATAAGACAGTAAATGGCTCAATTGATTCTCCTGAGATTCTAGAAAAAAATAATTTGATATGCCCGAGACAAGGATTAAGAACAAACCGTATTGTGCAGACTTCAAAAACGCCGAAAAACTATATATTGAACGGTCCAATGAACAGAGTAGCAATGGCGGTCAATGAACAGTGCTCAAACCTAAACTTTTTTAATTCATCACATAATACATTTATCAACATTGTCAAAATAAATAATACTTATTAGAATTTGTTAGCATTACTAGTGTGTTTGAGTCTACATATAAGTGCATGTGCGGACGTATGTATGTACAAGTGTATGTATAGGTGCCCGTATGTGTGTTTGTAAAAATAACATAGTTTAACATTATTATGTTACATTACTATATAATTAACTGTATATAGCCGATTGGCGTATAATAAATAAATAAATAAATAAATAAATATTTCTTTTTACTTATCATTTCTTATGTTTGTCTATCTGTTTAGTTATAATTGTTATTGTTTTTATAATTATAATACTTGTATCTATAGTTCTTTTTCCAATTTCTGTCATTTTTTCCTAGTTTATATTAATTTCTCAATGTTCATATGTATGTATGAGTATGTAGGTGTGCATATACATGTACATGTATATATATATATATATATATATATATATTTATATATATACATAATATTTCTCAACATTTACTAAAGCAATATTTCCTCTTTTTCGTAAATTACCAATACAAGAGCCATAAAAAATCATTTTTGCCAAGAATATCCTCCAAAAAATCGAGTGTTTTTAACAGAAAAATATTAGTGATATGGATATATAAATTATTACAGGTAAATAATTTTTGCTTCTCAATTTTATATAAAACCTTTTTTAGTTAATTCTTATTACTCTTTACCCCGGTACATAATCCATTCCTTTATAAATTTTTTTTTTCTAATTAATCTGTATTGACCATCATTAATTAATGTTAATCAATATTTTTAAAAAACATTGTATTTGACAGAATAAACCTGATGATGGAACGTACCTAGTTCCGAAACGTCGTTATTAAACATCTACAAAAATCAAATTGTTTTTTATTATTGGATTTACTGTTCGGAAAAGAAACAATCATATATATATATATATATATATATATATATATATATATATGTATACACATATATACATAGCTGGGCACCGTTAATCAAATAGTTAACTTCGTTAATCGTTAATCCGCTACAAAAAAAGTTAACTTCGTTAAACGTTAAAGCGTTACATTTCGGAAGAATTAACGCAAGTTAACGTTAATCGTTGATCCGTTAATATGTGTAAAATTACATTTTTATATCGTTGCGTTAGTGAACTTAAAAAACTTATTAGTTTAGGTTCTGGAAGTTAACAGGTTATGAATAAAACAAAATACTTGTATAATTCAAATGTGTAATTTAACCCCTCGCGCGTTTTATGCACTCTTCCGTGTGTATAAGGAAAATAGCGTGACGCGCTTTATGCACACACCGTGATAATAACGCTATTGGTCAAATTTCCGTTTTTATGATTGCATATTGTTTTTACAAGAATTTTTTTCTAAATAAAGGGAAAGAGTTTTTTTTAACTTCCCGTAGGGCAAGTTATAGTAATCGCAAAAAAATCGAAAATAAAATTTTTTGCATTTCTCGACGTTTCAAAGGTTTCTGAATATTTTGGCATACCTTAGAAAAAATGGATGTATGTGTGTGTGTGTATGTGTATTCGGATACAAATTTTCGTCGACGATTTCGGGAACACGGATCAACTGATTTGAATAATTAAAAAAACATTCGATTCGTATTGATAAGAAGACGTGCTGATTAGTTTTTGGCAAAGGCAGGTCTAGCCGTTCCGAAGATATGGGGCAAAATTGAGCCAAAAACGGTAACTCAGTTTTTAAGAGAACGGAGCGTCCGATTTTAATAATTCAAAAAACATTTTACTTGTATTAACAATTATGAAGAACTGATCAATTTTTCATGAAGACAGGTCTAGCGGTTTCGGAGATCTAATGAAAAAAGTAAAAAAAAATGCCATTTGGAGGTCAAAATGATCATTAGACATATGCACATCAAATTATCAGATATTTTATAAAGATTTTAACAATAAGTATAAATTTTATTTACATTCCTATGGGTTCCGTACCAATGTTTATCCTTTAGACAGCGACGCGGCGCTTACGCGCTTTATATTTTGTCTCTATGCAGTCCTAAAGCAGTAAAATTGCTTTGAAAAAAAGTTCAGATCTTCCAAAATATGTCAAAATAAAGAAAACATTTTTTTTTCAAAAAAAATTAATTTTTTGTCCAATAGTTTTGTCCAAAAATCTTATTTTTTCGAAGTAAATTTTTTTCAAAAATGTTAATCGTTTTTTAAAAAATAATAATTTTAGGTACGGAAAGTACCAGCAATTTGCCTTAAGGAACGATGCCTTAATTGCCTTAAGACAGAATTCCATTTACAGCTAGTTTTTGCGAAAAATAGGAAACGCGCGACGGGTTAAGCGTCGGGTATTAGGTGCATATTTCTCTTCATGAACATTAACATGTTGAAGTTCTCGTCTGAAAGCGAGGCTCGTTTTGGTGTCAAAATGTCTTTACCCGTGGAAAACAAACGTTCAACTGCAGCGCTTGAGGGTATAGCAGTATTGTATTTAATAAATAGATTTATGAATATCTGTTACCCAAGGAATGCAGCATCGTTGAACGAGTCTTTTGATTTCATATCCAGCCACATTTTAACGAGAATTTGCGCTTTATTTTTTAAAGAGTTTGTAGCTCTTTGGTTTTTCTATAGACTAAGTGACAGAATTGAAAAAGTCTTCCTTCTCGTCATCATCGTTGTTACTCGCATTGCTCCCTCCGCCACTTAAACTATCTCTGTCCTTAGAATTTTTCGCTGCTTCTTGCCATAAGGCGTCTTCTACCTTTTTTCCGTGCATTTTCTTACTGCATCCTCTCTACTGCTGTCATACGTTTCCAGCCACATTAACCGAAACTTTGGGTGAAATGCCGCAGCAAGTTGGCACTGTTCATCATTCAGGAGTAGTCCAAATCTTTTCTCTATGCCGTTTAATAAGGCATTGGCTAAAGCTGTGCCGTGCGGTAAATAGTAGGCATTGGATTAACGATTAACGGACTTCTCGCATTTTAACGGAAGTTAACGTGTCCGTTAACATTTTTAAAAGTTAACTTAAAAGTTAATCCGTTAATCAAAATGTTAACTTCGTTAATTAACGATTAACGGATTAACGAGTTAATGCCCAGCTATGCATATATATATACATATATATATATATATATATATATATATATATATATATATATATATATATATATATCTATAATATATATATAATACATCAGTATTGATAAATAAAATTTACAATTCTACCTTACTTACTGGTGTGGTATATCAGTGCGTTCAGGATAAATATCTACGAAATTGACATCGCAGTCGTTTGGACGTACCAACTCAAATTTGAGAAATTGTAGTTGAATCTGTAACAAGGTATATAGATTACTATTGAAAACATTAATTAATAAGAATTTGCATTCAATATGTGCATGTATTTATTGAAAGATATATACTGATTCATTATTTACATTAAATATTCAATCTTTTCAATCTATCAAATCTAATATAAATGTTTGAAATTTATTACGCAAGTTTACGGTATATATCAGTAAAAAGAAATGTCATTAAGATGGAAATGCTTACGCCACAGATTGATTGAATCTTCAATTACCATTGATGTGATCATTCAAAACGAGCTTATCTGTATTAAATATCAATATCCTTGATTGTAAAATGTCAAACTAAACGTTTGAGATTATATCATAATAGAAATCTAGATTGAATGAAAATGTCTGTATCTCTTAAATAATTATATTAAAAAAAACATCTAAATATGTCGTGTCGTTTAAGATACGTTGCTACATTGCAGATAAGTAAAAAAAAAAGATTTTATAGGCAAGACAAATACTTCAGTAGGTAATATCTATTGCTGGAAATATGATTATAAGTAATTTCATTTTCCTGATCAAAAAAGCATACGTACGTTTCCAATTGTATAAAAAATCAGTCATTATTGGAAGAGGGTATTATAAACCAAATCGTGGTGTTTTAATGAGTAAGTAGCAATATTAGAATTTATTCATAGACTGACAATATCTTAGATATAAAAATGGAGCTCTCGATCAAATGATTTGGTAAAACTGGAAAACGGCTAAACCAATTTGTCCAGTCTTAGTCTTGAAAAATTCGTGTCAATCCAGAGGTTGTCTGAAAGGTAAGATAATATTTCAAAATCGCGTAGAAACTTTACATTTTTAATTTGAAAATTTTTGGTGAACAGCACTTGATTTAAAATGGCTTCCTACACAGTATTATTCATTATGATAGATGAATCGCCTCGCCTACTCATATGTCAAATGGTTTTGACAAGTTAAAACAGAATATGTTCAGTGTTAGATAGTGTTGTTATTCTTTTGATTTTAAAACTTAATTATTATTGAAAATATATATATATACTAGATGACCCGACAGACGTTGTCTTGTACCCACATCTACATTTTTTTAATGCGCTATACTAATATTTACACCGTTCAGTTAAAAATAATATTTATTGTTTTTCGAATTACTATTTGCACAAATATGAGTGATGTTAAATGTAGAACTGCTTCAAATAAAATTATGATTCTCAATTCCCACAGTTACACTTTAATTATCTCTTTAACAAATATTAAAATATGTTCAATAAAATTGTATATTAAAAATTATACACTGCAATTAATAGAACAAATTTGTTTCCAATAGCTCAATTTATTTTAATACCAAGGGTTATCCAATAATTTTGGTCATACCTGTAGATGTGGATGTATAAATGAATGATTTTTTGTTTATTCACGACTAAAACATTGATTTTCCAAATTTATCACTCGAAAAATAGTCTGCCTTTGTGATTTATAGCATAAGATATACGTATTGGAAATTGAAGTATTTTAAAAGGTATAACATATTCAGAAAGAATTAATATATAGCATTCGCGGTATAGGTACAATATCACCTTGAATGTTTCTACCCAAAATAATTGCTTCAAAAATGTTGCCTATAATTTTTATAATTTCGTATCATATTTTAACTGGCTTTTAGTAATTTTAATATCTGAATAACATTTTTCTCACGAATAATATACATTATTACTTAAGTTCATATTTGAAGTGAATTAATTTGTCAAATCCTGTTCACATGTGCTCTATTCAACCTTCGATAAACAAAATTATTGCAGTAAATAGAGAGGAAAAAAGCGTGTGCTCTGCGAATTCTTTACTATGCTCCAATTTGCTTGATATTTTGGAAATAGGCTAATCTTAATCTTAAGTTCAGGAGTGAAAACAATTTGCACTCCCTCACTACCTCCGGCATTAATTGGATTATAACTCTTTTAATTCTGATCTTATCAGAACTTGTAATATACTATTTTAATGGTAATTAAATGACCTACAACTTTCTCTATCATAAATTTTACCGTAACTTCTCTTATTTTGAAACGGCGAAGTGTTAAAAGGATTGAAAGACATTCTGGTTCACTGCCGCGCACTCTTTAAACAATTAAAACTCTATCAATATTCGTGTAACAACAAAATAATATAAAGCAATAATTAGTCAGAAAAAACCCCTGAATTTCAGAGATATAATAATGAGAAATTGGTTGTTTTTTAATGGATTTTTTTCATGAAATCATGAGTTTTTTGAAAATCGTTTGTACTAAAGTTATGGTATTTTCTAGAATCCATCAAGATCTCTTAAGCCAAGTTAATTCTAGATGGAATACGATTATTTTTAATTTTGGTGGAAATGACACTCATAAACTCTTTGATTCAAATGAAAAAAAAACATTGTATGCGTCTTTTATTTGCATGATAGCTCACTCATTTTACATGCAGAAATACCTATTTTAAAGCTTATTTTGTGGACTATAAAACCCCATTTTTATATCTAGCTTAATATTGTTCCTAGAACACTATAAAACAGTGATTTATTAAGATATTAATTTATATAATTTTGGTCATTTCATTATTTTTGTTAAAATGTGTATTTCTGAAGATATTAGCAAACAACGCTTTTAATTTTTTCTTAACATTTAGTTAAAAACAATAATCTGTCAAATTTAATTTTAATATAGGGTATGTAATTACATTGAACTGACATTTCACAAACGTGAGACGCATGCGCAGAACTGCATCACTTGTCAGACGCATGTTGACTCTATTTTATTATATTATTTTAATTTTTGGCACATCTCAGCTGCTTTTCGGCAATAATAATGTAGACATTACATTTTCCTTATTTATAATCTCCTAATCTATAATCATAATTTATTTCCTAATTTATAAAAATGTTTGGCAAATGACAGTCTTCATTTGTTTTTAATGTCAAACTAAGCTTCAAATATTTTCAAGGTCAAACAATGATAAGCGTTTTTTTGTAATGTTTTTCATTTATTTCTACAATCTAACTATACTTCCATAGATCTAAAAATTCTAGAAAATTTCCCGAACAAACTTCAGGAAGATTCACAAAAATCCGAATTATAGTTTAGGTGGATTAATCATTCATACATAGTTACAGAAGAATTTTATATATAAGATAAATATTTAAATGTTAATAAGAATGCTTATTTTGATTTTATATAAAGTTTTTATTCAATTCTCAAGAGACCATTTGTTTGCTCACTGCCTTATGTATTTTTTTTGACACATTTTATTTATTTCAAACGCTATGCTGTACTTATTGATATAATGTGAATGTGTTACCAAAACATTTTCTGAATTATATTATTATTGTATTTAGGTTATTTAAATTGAATCCTAAAATCCTAAATTTGGAATTCATAGAATGGAACACGATTTTTGTCTAATCACTTATTGCGAGTTAAGATAGACAGCGATATGAATAAGAAAATTGTATTATAACACAGATAGTAATTTTGGAAATCATATTCATAAAAATTTCAATTATATGTACATACAAATACAAGATCGTTGGGAACAAAATTGTTTGAAAATTGCTTGTAAAGTTTGCATTATGATATGTGACATCAACATAAGTACAGTTTAATTAGACATGAAAGTAATCATTACAAATATATACAGTACAATCTATTTATAGTAGAAATTCTTTATTACAATACTACAAAACAAGTTTTGTAGTTATATGGTCCATGACATTTCTATTTTTAGGGTTTGACAAATGTCACAGTTTACAGAAGGCAACAAATATCACAGAGGAATGTAAAGTATCAGCAGTACCAACTTGCATTATATTACATGATTTCATCATCCAAAAAGGCATTCTAATGCATAGAAAGAAGTTTTTCCAGCATTCCAAATTGCAATGAAAAAATTAAAATAGTTAAACATACCCTACATAATAATATTTTTTTTACAGAATTTTCCTTGTGTTGTTCAGATACTAATGCTGTTATTGATCGGGCCTTTTCCCAATTACTTCCCGAGCATTCTATATAGAAGTCATGGTGATTGCTAAAACGGAAAATCAAAATAAACACATTGAAATTTATCACAATATGTACTAATGTTGAAAATGCACATATGTTCAAGCAAATTCATAAAGAAGAAATGTCCATTTTATATTCCTATATAACAATTCAAAGTAAAACGATAAAATGGCTGTGACGGATTGGGCCAGTGTTAGTTTCAAAATTGTATATTCATTAGTATTTATAGAACATTTTCTAGATTATATCATTATTTTATTTAAATTATTTAAATTCAAAACCTAAATTTAGAATCGATCAAAGGGGGCATTTTGTCGAATAACTTATTCCCAGATATAACAGACCACTACTTAAATAAGAAGATTCGGTTGATAATATAATTTCGGAATACACACCTGTACAAATTCCAATGCACATAATTACAAGTTCTCTGGAATAAAATATTTTGAAAATTGATTATAATGCTCGCATTCAATTAAATGTATCGACAGTTCGGGTACTAGAACAAGTATAGCAGAAAAATGATTCACTACAATTTTGAAGATCAACAATTTTGAAGGTATTCCTTCCAAACGATATGTCAAAAGCCATGCATTTTAGACACAGTCAGGTATCATTCATGTTTTATTAAATCAATCTACAAATAGAAAAAGATGAAAAACTTCAACAATCATTAGATAATGCAATGTAAAATATAATTTACTAATGATAATTCCACTATTACTATTTACTATATAATTCCACTAGTTTTGAAGAATAAACTGGAAAATTTTTCTATAAATTTATCGAAGAATGGATAGTAATATTTAAAGATCCGAGGTTAATAAGGTTTACCACCTTATATAGCATCGTTCAACAAAAATATTTTAAAAGTAGAGGGGAGAAGATGTATAACCAACTATAACTTTGATTCATATGACTTTGCTTTGAGATAGACGGTAATCTTTGAAAATCCATACCGAAAGTATTTTCTTTTGT